GAAGACCTCCAAGGTCCCTTCCAACTCTGTTATTCTGTTAATCAATGGACTGGCTTGCCTTCAGAAGTTGTAGGTGCTTCAACACTGGAGGCTTTTAAGAAGAGATTGGATAACCTTCTGAAATGGTAGAGGGTCTCCTCCTCCTTGAGCAGGGGATTGGAGCAGAAGACCTCCAAGATCCCTTCCAACTCTGTTATCCTGTTCATTAACAAAGCCAACCATGGTGTGGAGAGAAAAAAAACCCATGCCATACTTGTAACTACGGTTCCTGGTGGCTTATCTCTTCCTTCAGCAGCCTGGTCCTTCGGGCCAGATGGTCTTTGGACATCTGGCTCTGCTTTCTCTTTTGGCTTTTCCTGTCCACCTGCCTCTCCTGCCTCCGTTCCAGGTTCTGCTTTCTCTTCCGGCTTTTCCTGCCCACCTGCCTCTTCTGCCTCCGTTCCAGGTTCTGTTATTTCTTCCGGCTTTTCCTGCCACCTGCCTCTTCTGCCTCCGTTCCCTTTGTAGCAAGGTCCTTCTCCACCAAGGGAGATTTTGGGGTTTCCTTGTCATCCAAGATCTCCTGCACCCGGACTGCAACCTGGGAGGGCGAAGCCAGGACATCCACTTGTGGCCTGATTTCCTCAGCTGCTTCTTCTCCTTCCAAAATGGCCTGAAGGGGTGTGTCCCGATGGTCTTCTGGAGCAGCTTCTTCCCCAGCAGGTCTCTCCACTTCTTCAGAGGTGGGTTCCGTGGTGGCTTCTGGAAGGGCCTCCTCTGGAGCCTCTGCTCCTTGGGGTTCCAGCTCAGCCGCTGGCATTTCCGCTTGAGGTTCTTCTGCTTGGTCTTGGGTGGCCGTTGTAAGAACGTCTTGAGTCCCAGCTTCTGTTAGGCTGACCTGCTTCTCCAACCCAGCTTCTTCTACCTCGTTGACCACTGGTTCTCCATTGGTGCCGAGGGCTATTTTCTCATCCGAAAGGATGTCTTTCAGGACCGTGACGAGGAAGGTGGCTTCCTCAGATAATGTACGCTCAGGGCTGGGTACGTCCTCTGGGGGTTCCTCTTCATCGTCAGGTTCCAGGTCACCCCAAAACTCCGTGAGGTCTATGTCATCCAGTTCAACTATTGGCCCTAAAAAAGAGGAAGCACAGGGGACGTTGGCTTCAGAGCCTTGGTAGTACAGTGGTCTAAGGCACCCTGTTATTAAGCTGGTTATTAAGACCAGCTGCCTGCAATTACTGCAGGTTCGAATCTCGCCAGGCTCAAGGTTGACTCAGCCTTCCATCCTTTCTAAGGTAGGTGAAATGAGACCCAGTTTGTGGGGGCAATAAGCTGACTTTGTATAAAATATACAAAAGTATGAAGGCTATTGCTTAACTCACTGTAAGCCGCCCTGACTCTCCAGAGAAGGGCGGCATATAAATCAAATCAACAAAAAATAAAAAATAAAAAAAGTGATCGACAGAGACAAAAGTTCTGAAGGTTACATGTAGACTGGGTGAAACCAGGCTTAATAGCAGTAAGTGTGAGAGGAATTTTGGAGTCTTAGTGGACAACCAGCTAAATATGAGCCAGCAGTGTGTGGCGGCAGCCAAAAAAGCCCATGCAATCCTAAAATGCATGAACAGAGGGATACAATCAAGATCAAGGGAGGTACTAATACCACTTTACAAAGCCTTAGTAAGGCCACACCTAGAGTCCTGCATCCAGTTTTGGTCACCACACTATAGCAAAAGGGTTGAGACTCTGGAAAGAGTGCAGAGAAGAGCAACCAGGATGATGAGGGGACTGGAGGCTCTAAAATATACGATGAACGGTTGCAGGAACTGGGCCTGGCTGGCCTAGTGAAGAGAAGGACCAGGGGAGACAGGAGAGCATCTTCCAATATTTGAGGGGCTGCCCCAGAGATGAGGAAGGGGGTCAAGCTATTCTCCAAGGCACCCGAAGGCCAGACAAGGAACAATGGATGGAAACTGACCAAGGAGAGATTCAACTTGGAAATAAGGAGGAATTTTCTGACAGGGAGAACAATCCATGGAACAGAAGTTGCCTTCAGAAGTTGTGGAGCTTCATCCCTGGACACTTTCAAGAAGAGACTGGACTGTCCTCTGTCAGAAAGGGTGTAGGGTTGGGCAGGGGTTGGACTAGATGACCTACAAGGTCCCTTCCAACTCTGTTAAATCTGTTAACGGTGTGCCACCTTGGCTTGGCCAACCCCCGTCCTGCTTACATTTTTTTGGGTTGCAATAAATCTCCTTGGCGAGGTCCGAACTGCATTGGTAGAACTTCTGCAGGATGGACAAAACCTTCAGCCTGTCCAAGAGTCCCATCTAGAAGAAAAAGAGAAGAACCATCATCAAGAGTAAGTCAACTTTTCATGAGTTCGTTGCAACTCCGGTACATCAAACCATGGTGGGAGATCCTAGGAAACCCAGGTGCTCCTTTAACAGCTCCCGTCTGACGCCAGCCGGAAGCCCCAGTGCTCTGGCGCAGCTTATCCCGGAGGGCAGGAACATGCTAGTGAAACCTGTGGGTCCCTCCACCGCATCCAGGCCATCTTGGACCCCCAAGCCCTTCTCCCAGGAGACGTCTCCCGACACGTTTGCTACAGTGAAACTGCCGGTCCTGGCACTCAACCCCAACAGTGCTATGCCAAAGCCCACCCCCCCTTGCCTTTTTCAGACATTTGAAGATGCCGCCAAGGGGTCGTTTGGAAATGTGCCACCACTGGTGGATCAAAAACCGATGGAGAGCAAAAGCCCCATGGAAGCCGTGGCCTACCTGCCCTTCTATCTCAGGCCAACACCGTCATTGTCAGGTTTCGATGCTATCTCAAAATAAAGGAATTTCCAAACTGCCGATCTTTAAGGAAATGTTCTCTTTATTGAGCATAGGGATCTGTCCCTGGCTCTTTCGCGGTCAGTACTGACCTTTGCCCCCCCCCAATCCCTCCCTTTCCGATCCCCAATTCTCTGCGTCTCATTGGCTATCTTCCAAGCCACTTTCCTCATCCCTTCTCCGTCAGGTCACAGGAATGTCCCCCCCTCCTCCCATCTCCGAGGAGACAGAATCTTCAAAGGAATTAAGTAGGCAAAAGTTCGAGCTTCTCCTCTCCTTATATATGTCAGTGCTGGGACGCTGACAGTCATCCTCTTTGAAAGCAGAAGGCCGAAGAGGGAGGGTCCGAGGCTCAGGAGGGGCAGCTGCTATGCTCCCAGTCAGAGAAGTGGCCCTGAAGGCAGCCCCCATTCTTCGCGGACCCCAAGCTGGTCTCCTGGGCCCCTCACTGGAAGGAGGCCTTTACGGGGATCCCCCCAAAGGTTTAGCTAGCAGCATTGAGCCACAGCAGAGTCCGACTCCGGCTAATGAGACTCACTCCCAGGCAGGAGGGAGACCCGTAGCCTCGGTTGGCCTTTGGGAAACCTGGCAGGAAGCAGTCTTCTCCTGAGGCTGCCCCTGGCCCAGGGCCCCCCAAAACCAAGGCGGCTCTCCACGGATCTCACAGGCAGATTTGAAACCCGGGAGCCCTCCAGGCAGAAGAAGTCTTGTCTGTCTGAGATCCGGCGACGGGGCCCTGGAGGCCACAGGAGCGAGGAGCACAGCAGCCGGCTTAAGTGGGGCTGCAGCTGCCCGCCAAAGCTGTTTGCCCTCTGCTTGGAGGAGCAGCTCCCTCAGGCCAGAGCGTCCCGGAAGACGCGGAGCAAAACTGGGCACAGGAGAGGGAGGTAAGTTGCAACCCAGGAAGTGTGAAAATTGTCCATGAATGTGTGGGAAGAAATGTCCATCTGGGTTCAGTTCCAAGCGGGGAGAAAGACCCTGGAAACATGGAGACTGTTTGAAAAGATGGTTTAATGATGGACAGGACCACGTGGTTTTGGGGTCCTGGGCAAAAAAAGGCACATGGGTGACAGAGATAGATAGATTTATACCCTCTGTTGGGCTTTGAATTTGAGCTTGTATTCTGATTGGTTGTCAGACTCCCATGGGGCCATGCAGGGGTAACTTTGTAGGTTGTCTGTGTCCCAGGCTTGGTTGACTCTTGCTGGGTGATGATGTAATGAAAGGGCTTTGGGCAACACCTGGCAAGGGCCTGCTTGGAGAATATTGACTTAGCAGAATCAGAAGAGATTCTGGAGGGCACCTTGGAGGTCTTCTAGTCCAGCCCCCTGCTCAAGCAGGAGATGGGGGCGAGATCCTTGCTTGTGCCAAAGGAGAAGAAAGGCTTGTTGGCCCTACCTGCCCGTATTCACAATCGAAGAACAGCTGGACAAACATCTGCCTCCAGATGTCATGCCGGATGGCGTTCCGGCATCGTGAGAACATTGGAGCAAATGCTTCAGCAGCTCCTGGAACAGGTCACTGGTGAAATTTTTGACGTAAGAAAGGAGATACTGGGGAAAGAGGAAAAATGGAGGAAAATACATATTACATTTTGCTCCTCTGTTAATTCACTTTGTCCCGGCTTTCCGTTACTACTGCTAGATTCATATTCTCCCAAGGGATTCAGGATGCCACGTGAAGGGAATCCTCGACTTACGACCGCAAAGGGGAACTGAATTTCTGCCGCTATATGAGGCAGGTGGTCAATGAGTCGCCCCGCCCCCACTACTGTACAACCTTTTGTGCCAGATTTGCCAGGAGAGGAGAGGAGGAAGGAAGGAAGGAAGGAGGGAAGGAAGGAAGGAAGGAAGGAGGGAGGGAAGGCGGGAGGAAGGAGAGAGGGAAGGAGGGAGGGAGGAAGGAAGGAAGGAAGGAAGGAGGAGGGAGGGAGGGAGGGAGGGAGGAAGGAAGGAAGGAAGGAGGGAGGGAGAAAGGAAGGAAGGAAGGAAGCAGGGAGGGAGGGAGGAAGGAAGGAGGAAGGAAGGAGGAAGGAAGGAAGGAGGGAGGAAGGAAGGAAGGAAGGAAGGAGGGAGGAGGGAGGGAGGGAGGAAAATAGCGAAGGACCTACTTGCGGTGCCTCTGCCAGTGAAAACGGAGCTTGCGAAGGCCGCCCGCAGCCCTTCCGAGCTCCATTTTCACTGGCAGAGTTCTTGGGCAATCACAGCTCCCCCCCTCAACACGAATGACATCATGTTGCCCCCCCCCCAGGTCAAACATAACCCTGTTGCGGCCCTCAATGAAATGGAGTTTGACCCCCCCTGCCATAGATGATCCTGCAAGGAACTCTGTAAAAGGGATGTTTAGGCATTTCCCATTCCTGCATCCTCCTGATTCTTTGCAGAGGGGAGGGGGTCCCAGCAAGCCCACCATCCCTCCGGGTTGTGGGGGGTCGGGGGAAAGTTACTCCTCCTCCTCCTCACCTCTGTGAATTCCTCTTCGTTCACCTTCAAGTCCAGTGGTGCCACGGCTTCCAGCGGCCTGGCGTAGATGTCTGCACGGAGGAGAAAGAACTTGGTGTCCGGGAGGGGCAGTGAAAGCCTTGGCCGGGAGGGGGTTCTGAGGACCCTAATGGGCAGGGGTGGGTTTCAATTTTTTTTACTACCGGTTCTGTGGGTGTGGTTGGTGGGCGTGGCATGGCTTGGTGGATGTGGCTTGGTGGGCGTGGCAGGGGAAGGATACTGTAAAATCTCCATTCCCTCCCCTCTCCTGGGGGAAGGATACTGTAAAATCCCCTTTCCCTCCCCACTCCTGGGGGAAGGATACTGTAAAATCTCCATTCCCTCCCCACTCCAGGGGAAGGATACTGTAAAATCCCCATTCCTCCACACTCCAGGGGAAGGATACTGTAAAATCCCCATTCCCTCCCCTCTCCTGGGGAAGGATACTGTAAAATCCCCATTCCCTCCCATTCCAGGGGAAGGATACTGTAAAATCCCCATTCCCTCCCCACTGCAGAGGAAGGTTACTGCAAAATCCCCGTTTCCTCACAATCAGCTGGGACTCGAGAGGCAGAGAATAGATGTGGGCGGGGCCAGTCAGAATTTTTACTACGGGTTCTCCGAACTACTCATAATTTCCGCTATCGGTTCTCCAGAACTGGTCAGAACCTGCTGAGACCCACCTCTGCTAATGGGGGGAGAGAGGTGAGTGGGGACCCCACAGGGCACGCTTAAGGCAAAAGGATCCCTAAGGGCTATTTGATTGTTGGTCTGAGTTGGGGGTGCCTTGATTGGGGCATTGTTTGCTGCTTGCTGCTTGTTGCTCTAGTGTTTAAAGTTAGGAAGGAAGGAAGGAAGGAAGGAAGATGGAAGGAAGGAAAGAACGGAAGGAAAGAACGGAAGGAAGGAAGGATGGAAGGAAGGAAAGGAAGGAAGGAAGGAAGATGGAAGAAAGGAAAGAAAGGAAGGAAGGAAGGAAGATGGAAGGAAGGAAAGAAAGGAAGGAAGGAAGATGGAAGGAAAGAAAGGAAGGAAGGAAGGAAGGAGGATGGAAGGAAGGAAAGAAAGGAAGGAAGGAAGATGGAAGGAAGGAAAGGAAGGAAGGAAGGAAGGAGGATGGAAGGAAGGAAGGAAAGGAAGGAAGGAAGATCGAAGGAAGGAAAGAAAGAAAGAAAGGAAGGAAGGAAGGAAGGAAGGAAGATGGAATGAAGGAAAGAAAGAAAGAAAGACCAACAAATAGGCAGACAGAAGATAGGTAGGTAGGTAGGTAGATAGATAGATAGATAAATAGATACCAATAAAGGAGAATATTTTTAGCTCAGGGTTGAACTGTGGGGTCGTTGCTGCTCTCTTAGCCTGGTGCTTTTCTTGCAGATGTTTCATGACCCAACTAGGTAACATCATCAGTGGTGGAAGGGGGTGTGGGGTTTGCTCTTTGTGTATGTACCAGTGGCTTGCCCTGTCAGTGTAGGCAGTAGTATTTTTGGTGGCTCCTTAATTCGGCTGTGGTTTATCCTTTGATTGATTGGCTGAGCTGGTAGTTCCTTGATTGGCGTATCGTTCCCTGCCCGAGGGTTGGTCTAGTTTTAACCTTGGGGCTTATCTAGCTGTTGTCCTCCTGGCCAAGGAAGACGAGCCGATGACCCTTTGGAGACCAGAATAGGAGTCCAAAGCCCGGGATACAACATGGAGTAAGAGCTCCATTTTGCCTACTATTCCCCGGACGGGCAGATTCCCAACGTGGCAGGACGAAGCAGGAACTTCGTTTGTCTCCTGTTCATCTTTTCAAGATGGGCGGCAGAGGCATGATGGCACAAGGACGGATGACGTTCTTTGGCATTTGGGTCAACACGGCCTCCTAATCCTAGCCCAGGGTGGGTGGGTGGGAGCTGATCCCACACAGCTGGAAGCCCCCCAGAGGGAGGACGATCAGGGGATGGAGGGAGGTGGGGAGACGGTAGTCGGAGATTAAGAACACAGGAATTGGGAGCAGACAAGATAGATTCCTAGGGCTGGATGGAAGGGACCTCAGAGGTCTTCTAGTCCAGCCTGGATAGCTCAGCAGACTGATAGCACTGTTATTAACATCAAGCTGTCTGCAATTACTGTAAGTTCGAATCTCGCCAGGCTCAAGGTTGACTCAGCCTTCCATCCTTTCTAAGGTAGGTTAAATGAGGACCCAGTTTGTGGGGGGCAATAAGCTGACTTTGTATAAAATATACAAAAGGATGAAGGCTATTGCTTAACGCACTGTAAGCGTTAGTCTTACAGTGAGTCTCGGAGAAGGGCGGCATATAAATCAAATTTTAAAAAAAAACAAACCCTAACTTGAGCAGGAGGCTTGATACCATCCTAGTCCTATTTTTGAAAGCCTCCAGTGATGGAGCATCCAGGATGTGGAGACTCTGGAAAGAGTGCAGAGAAGAGCAACTAAGAGGATCAAAGGCCCAGAGGCTAAAACATAGGATGAACAGTTGCCGGAACTGGGCCTGGCTGGTCTAGTGAAGAGAAGGACCAGGGGAGACAGGAGAGCATCTTCCAATATTTGAGGGGCTGCCACAGAGAGGAGGAAGGGGGTCAAGCTGTTTTCCAAAGCAAAAGGAAGGAGGGAGGGAGGGAGGGAGGGAGGGAAGGAAGGTGGAAGGGAGGGAAAGAGAGAGAGAGAGAGAGAAAGAAGGAAAGAAAGAAAAAGAAAGAAAGAAAGAAAGAAAGAAAGAAAGAAAGAAAGAAAGACATCTGAATGAACCATAGATGGACAGAAGACATGGCTGGTCTAGGGAAGAGAAGGACCAGGGGAGACAGGATATCAATATTTGAGGGGCTGCCCCAGAGAGGAGGAAGGGGGTCAAGCTGTTTTCCAAAGCAAAAGGAAGGAGGGAGGGAGGGAGGGAGGGAGGGAAGGAAGGTGGAAGGGAGGGAAAGAGAGAGAGAGAGAGAGAGAAAGAAGGAAAGAAAGAAAAAGAAAGAAAGAAAGAAAGAAAGAAAGAAAGAAAGAAAGAAAGAAAGAAAGAAAGAAAGAAAGACATCTGAATGAACCATAGATGGACAGAAGACATGGCTAGTCTAGTGAAGAGAAGGACCAGGGGAGACAGGAGAGCATCTTCCAATATTGGAGGGGCTGCCCCAGAGAGGAGGAAGGGGGTCAGGCTATTCTCCAAGGCCCCTGAAGGCCAGACAAGGAACAATGGATGGAAACTGACCAAGGAGAGATTCCACCTGGAAATAAGGAGGAATTTTCTGACAGTGAGAAGAATCAACCCATGGAACAGAAGTTGCCTTCGGAAGTTGTGGGAGCTTCATCACTGGAGGTTTTCAAGAAGAGACTGGACTGCCATCGGTCAGAAATGGTGTAGGGTCTCTTGCTTGGGTGGGGGGTTGGACTAGATGACCTACAAGGTCCCTTCCAACTCTGTCATTCTGTAAAAAAGATGTTGAGACTCTAGAAAGAGTGCAGAGAAGAGCAACCAGGATGATGAGGGACTGGAGGCTAAAACCTACGATGAACGGTTGCAGGAACTGGGCCTGGCTGGTCTAGTGAAGAGAAGGACCAGGGGAGACAGGAGAGCATCTTCCAGTATTTGAGGGGCTGCCCCAGAGAGGAGGAAGGGGGTCAAGCTATTCTCCAAAGCAAAAGGAAGGAAGGAAGGAAGGAAGGAGGGAGGGAGGGAGGGAAGGTGGAAGGGAGGGAAAGAAAGAAAGAAAGAAAGAAAGAAAGAAAGAAAGAAAGAAAGAAAGAAAGAAAGAAAGAAAGACATCTGAATGAATCATAGATGGACAGAAGACATGGCTAGTCCAGTGAAGAGAAGGACCAGGGGAGACAGGAGAGCATCTTCCAATATTTGAGGGCTGCCCCAGAGAGGAGGAAGGGGGTCCAGCTATTCTCCAAAGCAAAAGGAAGGAAGGAAGGAAGGAGGGAGGGAGGGAGGGAAGGAAGGTGGAAGGGAGGGAAAGAAGAGAGAGAGAGAGAGAGAGGGAGAAAGAAAGAAAGAAAGAAAGAAAGAAAGAAAGAAAGAAAGAAAGAAAGAAAGAAAGAAAGAAAGAAAGACATCTGAATGAATCATAGATGGACAGAAGACATGGCTGGTCTAGTGAAGAGAAGGACCAGGGGAGACAGGAGAGCATCTTCCAATATTGGAGGGGCTGCCCCAGAGAGGAGGAAGGGGGTCCAGCTATTCTCCAAAGCAAAAGGAAGGAAGGAAGGAAGGAGGGAGGGAGGGAGGGAAGGAAGGTGGAAGGGAGGGAAAGAAAGAGAGAGAGAGAGAGAGGGAGAAAGAAAGAAAGAAAGAAAGAAAGAAAGAAAGAAAGAAAGAAAGAAAGACATCTGAATGAATCATAGATGGACAGAAGACATGGCTGGTCTAGGGAAGAGAAGGACCAGGGGAGACAGGAGAGCATCTTCCAATATTGGAGGGGCTGCCCCAGAGAGGAGGAAGGGGGTCAAGCTATTCTCCAAAGCAAAAGGAAGGAAGGAAGGAAGGAGGGAGGAGGGAGGGAAGGAAGGTGGAAGGGAGGGAAAGAAAGAAGAGAGAGAGAGAGAGAGAGAAAGAAAGAAAGAAAGAAAGAAAGAAAGAAAGAAAGAAAGAAAGAAAGAAAGAAAGAAAGAAAGACATCTGAATGAACCATAGATGGACAGAAGACATGGCTAGTCTAGTGAAGAGAAGGACCAGGGGAGACAGGAGAGCATCTTCCAATATCTGAGGGGCTGCCCCAGAGAGGAGGAAGGGGGTCAACCTATTCTCCAAAGCCCCTGAAGGCCAGATAAGGAACAATGGATGGAAGCTATTCAAGGAGAGAAGCAACCTGGAACTAAGGAGGGATTTCTTAACAATTAATCAGTGGAACGACTTGCCTCCAGAAGTTGTGGGAGCTCCATCACTGGAGGATTTTAAGAAGAGACTTATTTTTACTACCGGTTCTGTGGGCGTGGCTTGGTGGGCGTGGTGTGGTGTGGCTTAGTGGGCGTGGCTTGGTGGGTGTGGCAGGGGAAGGATACTGCAAAATCCCCATTCCCACCCCACTCTGGGCCAGCCAGAGGTGGTATTTGCCAGTTCTCCGAACTACTCAAAATTTCCGCTACCGGTTCGTCAGAACCTGTCAGAACCTGCTGGATTTCACCCCTGCTTGGAACCCTGACACTGGGACAGGTAGGTGCATGTTTTACCTGCGTCCTTGAACTGAGGCATTTTGCTGACAACCTCCAGGAAGGATTGCAAGGCACTTTGGATCTGCAAACGGAAACACAATTTCTTAAGGGCGGACCCGCAAACTCTTGGCATCTATTCCAATGGTGCAGGTTTTGTTGACACGGAATTGTTCCAAGCCAGAACATCCAGGTGTCCGCCATGCCCAGGGACCAGCGGTTAATCAATATGGTCTAGTGCCGTGATGGCGAACGTATGGCACAGGTGGCACACGGAGCCATATCGGTGGGCACACGAGCTCAGCTGCGGCACACATGTGCGTGCCGGCCAGCTGATTTTCGGGCCTTCTGGACCACCTGGAAGTAGGGAAACAAGCTGTTTCCTGCCTCCGGAGGAGACCGGAAGTCGGCAAATGAGCCGTTTCTGGCCTCGGAACGCTACCGGGGGTGGTGGTGGGGAAGGCCATTTTTGCCCTCCCCAGGCTCCTAGAGAGGCTCTGGAGCCTGGGGAGAGCAAAAAACAGGCCTACCGGGCCCATCATACCATCGCGTGCCAAAAGCGGGAGGAACACAGGGGGATCGTGCGCATGCTTGGGGTGGGGTATATAGAATCATGGGTGTGGGCACGCGCGTGCGTGACTCCCCCCGCGCTCCACCCATTTTTGGCACGCGATGGCAAAAAGGTTAGCCATCACTTGTCTAGTGACTTATATTATGTGATTACATAAATGATTACCACAGCTGATCCCAGAACTTATGTTGCTAAAGGGGAAAAAAAAAGGTTCGGTGAGTTGTGCCCCATTTTACGACCTTCCTGGCCATTGTTGTTAAGTGAATCATAGCAATTTTTAAGTTAGTCCCATGGCTTCTAAGTGAATCGGGCTTCCCCCGTTGACTTGGCTTCTCCGACGGTCGCAGAAGGGGATCACGGGACCCCTGGACGCTGCAACCGTCATATCTATGAGTCAGTTGCCAAGCAACTGAATTTTGATCACCTGATCCCCGGGATGCTGCAACGGTCGTAGGTGTGAAAAAGGGCCGTAAGTCAATTTTTCTCAGTGCTGTTGTAACTCCTAACGGTCACTAAATGAACAGTTGTAAGTCAAGGACTATCTGTACGTATTTATATACCGGCCTACCCAGCCTCACAACTCTTGATTCTCAGAAATACGGCTAGTCCCTGAGTTACGACCATAAAGGAATCTGCCCATCACGGTCGTAAATTGTGATGGCTATAATTCTGTTGTCAACCCATGTGGCCAAGCCACATTTTACAGACGGTCATAAAGTGAACATCATGGTGATTAAATGAGCCAACGGTTTGCTATGGAGACGAGGTAACGTGCTGAGTTCGAGAAAGCAAGGAGGTTTCGTTTGGCGTGTCAGTCTTACTGGGGGTATGGTTTTCTCTTCGGTTGTTCCTGGACGATGGAACCACGTAATTAGGGATCTCGTTAACGAGGGAACGTTAACCCTGGAGTCCTTGGTGCTCTCTGAGCTTGGTGCTTTTCCGGCAGACCTTTTTTATCTGACTAGGTAACTTCATCAGGGCTAGAAGGGAGTGGGGTTTGTGGAGAGAGGGAGGAGGAGGAGGAGGAGGAGGAGGAAGACTGGCATCCTCTGAAAACCTTGGTGGCTTTCTTGCAGACATTTCATGACCCAACTAGGTAACATCATCAGGGCTAGAAGGGAGGAGGAGGAGGAGGAAGAAGAATGAAGGGTCCTTAGTTGTTTTCTTGCAGACGTTTCATTATCGAACTAGGTAACAATATCAGTGCTAAGAGGGAGGCAGGTTTATGGAGTGGAGGAGGGAGGAAGAAGAGGAAGAGGACTGTGGGGTCCTTGGTGCTTTCTGAGGTTGGTGGTTTTCTTGCAGACATTTCATCACCCAAATAGGTAACATCATCAGTGCTAGAAGGGGGTAGGAGCTGCTCCCTGTTTATGTACAGTGGCTCTCAGTGTTGGTGAGAGTTCCTTGATTCGGCGACTGTTTATGGTTTGTCTGAGTTGGTAGTTGTGTACCTTCTTGATTGTTGGTCTAGCCTTAATCTTGGGGTTAATATTTGGGTGTCGATTTGTTGGCGAAGAAATCTTCTGGTCATTCTCTTTCGTTTTTGGAGTTCTGATCTTCTCTTTTGAGTGGTGTGTAGATGTCATTTATCTTCAGATGCCTGTTGATGGCGGACGTCTAAGTCCATGATGGCAAACCTTTTCGGCACCGAGCGCCCAAACTGGAACGCATGTGCATGTGCGCATGTACACGTGCCGGAGCACTGGAAACCCGAAAACCAGTTGGCCGGCGCGCACATGTGTGTTTTTTGGCTGGTTTTGGCCGTTATCAGGCTGTTTTGGGGGCTGTTTTGGGGGTAGTTTTCAGGCCGTTTTTCGGTGCTCCGGTGCCTGCAAAGACAAGTTATCCACTCTGGCACCCGCGAAGAAAAACAACCCAAAAACGGCCCAAAAAAGCCTTATTTTTTGGGCGTTTTCAGGCCGTTTTCTGGCATTCTGGTGCCCGCAAACACCAGCTGGCCACTCTGGCACCCGCGAAGAAAAATGACCCAAAACCAGCCTGAAAAGCGGCCCAAAAACACCCTCTTTTTTGGGCGTTTTGGGGGGGCGTTTTCAGGCTGTTTTCTGGCGCTCTGGCACCCGCGAAACCAGAAGAGAAGCTGGCGACAGCACGCGTGCCCACAGGGAGGGGTCTGCGTGCCACCTGTGGCACGTGTGCCGTAGGTTCGCCATCGCAGGTGAAATTAAGGAATTTTTCCTAATTCTTGAGGCTTCATAGCTCAGTGTTCACTGTACTTTATTGATTTTGTGCCCTTTTATTAATAAACAAAGAAAAATTAGTACAAGCGACTTCGTTTATTCTATACCGTTTCACCGAAGGGATTTTGCGACGTAACGGGTAGCAAGGTTTCCCAATTCCCACTCCATGCTTCGGAACGCCTTCCTTCCTTCTCGTTATAGCAGGGGTTCCCCGAGAAGCCCCCCCCCAGCCAGTACAGGTAGTCCTCCACTTACAACGCTTCATTCAGTGACCGTTTGAAGTTACAACGGCGCTGAAAAAAGGGACTGAGGGCCGTTTTTCACACTTACGACCGTTGCAGCATCCCCCGTGGTCACATGATCAAAACTCAGATGCAGTGTCCCAGGGTCACATGATCCCCTTCTGACAAGCCAAATCAGTGGGAGGGAAGACAGATTCACTTAACGACCGTGTGACTCACTTAACAACCACAGGGATTCACTTAACAGCGGTTGGCGAGAAAAGTCATAAAACGGGGGCAAATCTCACTGAACAACTATCTCGCTTAGCAACAGAAATGTTGGGCTCAATTGCGGTCGTAGGTCGAGGACTACCTGGACGAAGCGGCGGGAGAGCGAGCGAAGCTTCATCTGCATCATCATGGGTGGGATCTGGATTGTGTCCGAAGCCTTTTCCCCTCCCTCCGAAATTGGTCCCTGGTGCCTGAAAGGTTGGGGACCACACCCCACACCCCCTGTGTTATAGGACAACTCTGTGTGTGTCTGTGTGTTCTAAGAGTTCATCTAGAATCGAATTAACCGGTTTTGACGCATACATAGGTACAGTACAAATAACAAGCAAATCCTATAGCAAGAGACGGATAGGACAGATCAGCTGTTGAGACCAAAAAAACATGCTTGGACTCCCCCTGAAAAGAAAAAGCTGGCTGGCTGTTAGGAGTGAATATTCCTCCCTCTCTCCTTCTTCTTCCTTCCTTCCTTCCTTCCTTCCTTCCTTCCTTCCTTCTTTCCCTCCCTTCCTTCTTTCTATCCCTCTCTCCCTTCCTTCCTCCACTTTCCCTCCTTCCTTCCTTCCTGCCTTCCTTCTCTTTCCCTCCTTCCTCCCCTTGTTTTCCTTCCTTCCTTCCTCCCTCCCTCCCTCCACTTTCCCTCCTTCCTTCTCTTTCCCTCCTTCCTCCCTCCCTTTGCTTTTCTTCCTTCCTTCCTTCCCACCCTCCACTTTCCTTCCTTCCTTCCTTCTTTCCCTCCCTTTCTTCCTCCACTTTCCCTTCTCCCCACCCCTTGCTCCTTCCTTCCTGCCTTCCTTTACCTCCTTCCTCCCTCCCTCCACTTTCCTTCCTTCCCTCCTTCCCTTCTTCCCTCCACTTTCCTTCCTTCTCCCTCCCTCCCTCCCTTCCTCCACTTTCCCTCCTCCCCACCCCTTGCTCCTTCCTTCCTTCCTTCCTTCCTTCCTTCCTTCCTTCCTTCCTTCCTTCCTTCCTTCCATCCTTCCTTCCTTCCTTCCCTTTCCCTCCTCCCTCCCTCCCCTTGCTCTCCTTCCTTCCTCCCTTCCTCCCTCTCTCCCTCCCTCCCACCCTCATTCCTTTCCTTCCGGTCTGAGCCTCTGCTTTGCACGCTGAAGTTCCCAGGTTGGGTGCTCAGGATCGCCACTTGCTCGGCTGAGCACATCCACCCCTTCATCCATTGCCATTGGCCCTTCCAGTTGAGGAATCCCCCCTCTCCATCCATGTAGAAACTGGATGTGCACACCTGGCGTTCTCTCACCCGCCCCCCCAGCTCAGTAGGGGCCATGAGGACGAATGGACTGGGTCAGGAATGGGGCACGAGATGGCTATGGGTGCTACCTCCAGCCCCTGAAGAAGAAGGAAGTCACACATCTCAATGGTGGAAGAGGCCGTGGGGACTTAGGGTGGGGATGATATAGCTTAATAGGTCCATGCTCATCCCTGGAGACTCACTGGCTGACCTTGGGACCCTCTCTTAGCTCAGGTGGCTGCATGAAGGCGGGAGGGGGGGAATGCCAGGAGGGAGGGCTTTTGACGCTGCTTTGAGCTCCTGGGTGGAAAGAGGATAGGCAGAGAATCTAATAAACGAATAGTAAGTGGAAGGAAGGTCGTGCAGCAGGGAAAACGCTCCTGGGCACTTCTGCACATTTTTAGGTTTGAAGGGCCCCACCCGGAGGAATTGGCAAGCCAGCCTTTAAAAGGGGGGGGGTTGATTTCTTGGGGGATGGAGGTGGAATTGAGCATGAGGAGGTGAAGAAACATTGGAGGAGGTGCAGGAGGAAGAGGAGGGGGAGGAGGAAGAGGAGAAGGAAGAGGAGGAGGAGATGAAAGAAAAAAACAGAGGAGGAAGAGGAGGAAAAGAGAAGGAGTAGAAAGAGAAGAAGAAGGAGAAACAGGAAGAGAAAGAGGAGAAAGGCGAAAGAAGACAAAAGAAAATAAAGATTAAAAAGAGGAGGAGAAAGGAAAAGAGAAGGAGGAGAAGAAGGAGAAGGAGAAGGGGAAGAGGAAGAGGAAGAGGAGAAAGATTAAAAAAAGGAGGAGGAGAAAGAGAAAGAGGAGAAAGAAAGGCGAAAGGAGACAAAAGAAAATAAAGATTAAAAAGAGGAGGAGAAAGGAAAAGAGGAGAAGGAGAAGGAGAAGAAGGAGAAGGAGAAGGAGAAGAGGAAGAGGAAGAGGAAGAGGAGAAAGATTAAAAAAAGGAGGAGGAGAAAGAGAAAGAGAAGAAAGAAAGGAGAAAGGAGACAAAAGAAAATAAAGATTAAAAAGAGGAGGAGGAAGAGGAAAGAGGAGGAGAAAGGAAAAGAGAAGAAGGAGAAGGAGAAAGAGAAAGAGAAAGGGGAGAAAGAAAGGAGAAAGAGAAGGAGAAGGAGAAAAGAAGAAAGATAAAAAAAGAAGAGGAGGAGGAGAAGAAAAAGAATTGTTTGAGTAAGCAATCAGACAAACAATCAAGCAACTCAAGGAACCACCAAGAAGAAATTACACTCCCACACTGATAGGTGAATAAACCCTCCTTCCTTGCAGCACTGATAATGTTATCTAGGCAGGTAATGAAACATCTGCAAGTAAACCACCAACCTCTGGCAGCTTACTATTCCTACTCTGTCATTCTGTTATTTATTTAGCTCCAAGGACCCCAGAGTTGAACCCTGGGCTATATTCTCTTCTACTGATACTACACTACCGGTAGTCCTCGATTTACAACAGTTCAGGCCATTCTAAGTTACAACAGCACTGAAAAAAGTGACTTATGACCGTTTTTTACACTTATGACCGTTGCAGCCTCCCCGTGGTCACGTGTTCAAAATTCGGCTCCTATTTATGACGGTCGCAGTGCCCTGGGGGGGGGTGTCACGTGATCCCCTTTTGCGACCTTCTGACAATATCAATGGGGAAATCATATTCGCTTAATAATCTTGTTAGTAATTTAAGAACTCCAGTGATTCGCTTAACAACGGTGGTGAGAAAGGTCGTAAAACGGGGCAAAACTCACTTAAAAACTATCTTGCTTAGCAACTGAAATTTCGGGCTCTTTTGTCGTTCTAAGGCGAGGATGACCCGTAGTAAGTTCTGTGAACCAGGATGATTCTGGTTTGAGGCACGATTTGTTGGGTACTGAACCCGGGAACTGGGCATGCAAAGCAGAGATCTGACCATCCAGCTGAATCTCCCCATAGATACTTCCTCTAGTCACAGGGTCTCCAACCTTGGTGTACTTTACGAGTTGTGGACTGCAACTCCCAGAATTCCTCAGCCAGGCTGAGGAACTTCAACTCCCAGAAGTTGTGGACTTCAACTCCCAGAATTCCTCAGCCAGGCTGAGGAACTTCAACTCCCAGAAGTTGTGGACTTCAACTCCCAGAATTCCTCGCCAGGCTGAGGAACTTCAACTCCCAGAATTCCTCAGCCAGGTTGAGGAACTTCAACTCCCAGAATTCCTCAGCCAGGCTGAGGAACTTCAACTCCCAGAAGTTGTGGACTTCAACTCCCAGAATTCCTCAGCCAGGCTGAGGAACTTCAACTCCCAGAAGTTGTGGATGTCAACTCCCAGAATTCCTCACCAGGCTGAGGAACTTCAACTCCCAGAAGTTGTGGACTTCAACTCCCAGAATTCCTCGCCAGGCTGAGGAACTTCAACTCCCAGAAGTTGTGGACTTCAACTCCCAGAATTCCTCGCCAGGCTGAGGAACTTCAACTCCCAGAAGTTGTGGACTTCAACTCCCAGAATTCCTCGCCAGGCTGAGGAACTTCAACTCCCAGAATTCCTCAGCCAGGCTGAGGAACTTCAACTCCCAGAAGTTGTGGACTTCAACTCCCAGAATTCCTTGCCAGGCTGAGGAACTTCAACTCCCAGAAGTTGTGGACTTCAACTCCCAGAATTCCTCGCCAGGCTCTGAGGAACTTCAACTCCCAGAATTTGTAGACTGCAACTCCCAGAATTCCTCAGCCAGGCTGAGGAACTTCAACTCCCAGAAGTTGTGGATGTCAACTCCCAGAATTCCTCACCAGGCTGAGGAACTTCAACTCCCAGAATTCCTCGCCAGGCTGAGGAACTTCAACTCCCAGAAGTTGTGGATGTCAACTCCCAGAATTCCTTGCCAGGCTGAGGAACTTCAACTCCCAGAAGTTGTGGACTTCAACTCCCAGAATTCCTCGCCAGGCTGAGGAACTTCAACTCCCAGAAGTTGTAGACTTCAACTCCCAGAATTCCTCGCCAGGCTCTGAGGAACTTCAACTCCCAGAATTTGTAGACTGCAACTCCCAGAATTCCTCAGCCAGGCTGAGGAACTTCAACTCCCAGAAGTTGTGGATGTCAACTCCCAGAATTCCTCACCAGGCTGAGGAACTTCAACTCCCAGAAGTTGTGGATGTCAACTCCCAGAATTCCTCACCAGGCTGAGGAACTTCAACTCCCAGAATTCCTCGCCAGGCTGAGGAACTTCAACTCCCAGAAGTTGTGGATGTCAACTCCCAGAATTCCTTGCCAGGCTGAGGAACTTCAACTCCCAGAAGTTGTGGTCTTCAGCTCCCAGAATTCTTCAGCCAGGCTGGCTCAGCCAGGTTGGCTGAGGAATTCTAGAAGCTGAAGTCCACAACTTGTAAAGTCACCAAGGTTGAAGACTCCTGCATGTAGTAATTGGATCCAGAGAAGCTTCCAATGCTGGTTTGTGGAATGAGTTGATGGGTCTTTCCTGAGCCTCAGCCCATCTCCAGAAGAAACCAGAGCAGACCAGCTGCTGGCCTTCTCCTCTTGCTTGGTTCCCTATCCTACTTGCTGACCCAAAAGCTCTCCAGATGCCTTCAGACAAGATCTGGCTAGCGGAGGGAGGAGAAAGGAGAGGGCCAGCCTTCTGTTACTTCTCAGGAGAAGATGTCTGGGGAAGGTCTTTGCCAGCCAGCTGTGGCGGCCCCGGTTCGTTCGCCCCAGTTACCAGCGCCAGCGGTAGCTGTCCGGTGGCATCCAGGGTCCATTCGTGGAACTGCACGGCTAAGGCCTGCTCGCGCAGTTGGTTGACTTGAGCTTTGATGTTCTCCACGTCTTCCCTATGATGGCGTTTTTCTTCCACCAAGTCCTTCATCTGAGCGAGTCTGCAGGACACAAAGGTAACATGGTGAGATCAGGGTTATTAAAAGTCAGGAGAACTCAGATCACAGAATAACGGAGTTGGAAGGGGCCTTGGAGGTCTTCTCCTCCAACCACCTCCTCAAGCAGGAGACCTTGTACCAGTGGTGAAATGTGAAATTTGTTACTACCTGTTCTGTGGGCGTGGTTTGGTGTGTGGGCATGGCCAACTTTTTTTTTTTAACTTTTAAAACCATTTTTTTCTATAACCTCTTCGGCCAAAGAGGTTGTAGAAAAAATGCTTTTAAAAGGCTCTGACGATCCCAGCTGAGTTGCCTGATCGGCAGAGGCTTTTTTTTTCCTTTTAAAAACATTTTTTCTACAAGTTCTTCAGCCGAAGAGGTTATAAAAAAAAGAGGCAGCCGAAGAGGCACCAAGGACTACACAGTTGTCCTTCTCCTCCTCCTCCTCCTTTCTCCAAACCCCACTTCCTTCTAGCACTGATGATGTTCCCTAGTTGGGTCATGAAACATCTGCAAGAAATGCAACAAAGCTCAAAGAGCACCAGGGACCCCACAATAATCCTCCTCCTTCTCCCTTCTAGCACTGATGATGTTCCCTAGTTGGGTCACGAAACGTCTGCAAGAAATCCACCAACCTTCGGAGAGCACCAAGTCCCCCACCGTTCAACCCCGAGCTACAGATATTCTCCCCTTAGTATCAGGCCCAACTTTCCGTTTGAACCGGCTCCCCTCAGGTGGACCTAACTCACTTATGCAGCGTCGTGTCGGGCACGCGTGTCTTCAGCTGATCCGTGATGGCCTTCAGCCCTCGCACGTAGGGGTTGGGCTTGGCGCTCAGATCGTAGGTAGGGTTATGCCTCATCAGGTATTCGCCCAGGAAGATCATGGGGTTAAAGGGGCAGGGTTCGGACTCCTTGGGCTCCAGCGCCTGCTTCCGTTCTGCCACCTTTAGCAGCTTCTCCACGGCGGGCACCAAAGTGGGCAGAAGCTTATCGAGAAGATACGCCCGGGTTTCCAGAGTCATGGACTCGGTGTTGAACCAATCTTGGGACAGGCTATCCGGCGGGTCCTCCTTTTCCATCTTCTCCTGCTGCAGCGTTTTCTTCTGCAGCCTCGTCATCTTGATGCCCTGCAGATCCAAAGATCGCGGCTGGACGCGGTCGTGGAAAACGGCCTTCCACTGAGCGTCCGCCGTCGGAGACACAGAGCGAAGGGCGGCCCCCACGTTTGGCTTGCCTGCTCCCACGGGTAGGTCGTTGCCTTGGTTGACTTCGGCACCGTTTTCCCTGTCTGGGTCCGTGGCCATGTTTGCGGTCTCTGCAAGGGAAGAGGAAAAGGAAGGACGATCTGATTCTGACAGAGGTGAACGACGCAGCTGTCAAAAAAAGCCAACGCAATCCTAAACTGCATGGTTATGGGCGCAACTCGTTGTGCCCGTGTGACACCCCTCCTGCGTGAGCTGCACTGGCTCCCAGTGGTCTTCCGGGTGCGATTCAAGGTGCTGGTTACCACCTTTAAAGCGCTCCATGGCATAGGACCCGGGTACCTTCGAGACCGACTTCTGCCACCAATAGCCTCCCACCGGCCAGTCCGCTCCCACAGAGAGGGTCTCCTCAGGGTGCCATCGGCCAAGTTATGTCGGCTGGCGACGCCCAGGGGGAGGGCCTTCTCTGTGGGAGCCCCAGCCCTGTGGAATGAACTGCCCCCGGAAATACGTAAGATCTCCGACCTCCGGGTGTTTCGCTGCGCTCTCAAGACCCTGTTGTTCCGCCAGGCAGGGCTATCAACATAATAATTTTAAATTGGGGTATTCTAAATTTTTTGGGGTTTTAAACCGGCCAAATCTATTTAATTATTTTAAATTTTAATCATTGTTGTGTCTTGTTTTTTTAAATTGGCTGTACACCGCCCTGAGTCCTTCGGGAGAAGGGCGGTATAGAAATAAAATTATTATTATTATTATTATTATTATTATTATTATTATTATTATTATTATTATTATTTTATTAACAGAGGGATACAATCAAGATCAAGGGAAGTACTAATACCACTCTATAAAGCAGTGGTGAAATCCTATTTTTTTTTACTACCGGTTCTGTGGGCGTGGCTTGGTGGGCGTGGTGTGGCTGGGTGGGCGTGGCAGGGGAAGGATACTGCAAAATCTTCATTCCCACCCCACTCCTGGGGGAAGGATACTGCAAAATCTCCATTCCCACCCCACTCCTGGGGGAAGGATACTGCAAAATCTCCATTCCCACCCCACTCCAGGGGAAGGATACTGCAAAATCTCCATTCCCACCCCAATCCAGGGGAAGGATACTGCAAAATCTCCATTCCCACCCCACTCCTGGGGAAAGATATTGCAAAATCTCCATTCCCTCTCCAGTCCAGAGGAAGGATGCTGTAAAATCTCCATTGACCCCACTCCAGGGGAAGGATACTGTAAAATCTCCATTCCCTCTCCTGTCCAGAGGAAGGATGCTGTAAAATCTCCATTCCCACCCCAATCCAGGGGAAGGATACTGTAAAATCTCCATTCCCACCCCACCCTTGGGGGAAGGATACTGCAAAATCTCCATTCCCACCCCGCTCCTGGGGGAAGGATACTACAAAATCTCCATTCCCACCCCACTCCTGGGGGAAGTATACTGCAAAATCTCCATTCCCACCCCAATCCAGGGGAAGGATACTGGAAAATACCCATTCCCTCCGCACTCCTGGGGGAAGGATATTGCAAAATCTCCATTCTCTCCCCACTCCTGGGGGAAGGATACTACAAAATCTCCATTCCCACCCCACTCCAGGGGAAGGATACTGCAAAATCTCCATTCCCACCTACTCCAGGGCAAAGATATTGCAAAATCTCCATTCCCACCCCACTCCAGGGAAAGGATACTGGAAAATCTCCATTCCCACCCCACTCCTGGGGGAAGGATATTGCAAAATCTCCATTCCCACCTCACTCTGGGGCCAGCCAGGAGTGGTATTTGCCGGTTCTCTGAACTACTCAAAATTTCCACTACCGGTTCTCCAGAACCTGTCAGAACCTGCTGGATTTCACCCCTGCTATAAAGCCTTAGTAAGGCCACACCTAGAATACTACATCCAGTACCATAAAAAAGATGTTGAGACTCTGGAAAGCAGGGGTGAAATCCAGCAGGTTCTGACGAACCGGTAGCGGAAATTTTGAGTAGTTCGGAGAACCGACAAATACCACCTCTGGCTGGCCCCCGAGTGGGGTGGGAATGGGGATTTTGCAATATCCTTCCCCTGCCACGCCCACCAAGCCACGCCCACAGAACCGGTAGTAAAAAAAAAAATTGAATTTCACCACTGCTGGAAAGGTTCCTGAACGTTTCGTGACATCTTCATCAGATCACGAGACCCCCCTCCCCCCATGTGACACATCCACATTTGCAGCCCTTATAAACAGGACACCGATGCCGACATCCCCTGACCTAAACTCTGCTGAAGGCGTTAGCTAGCGTGGTAACGAAACGTCCGGAAACCAACCCACCAGCTCGGAGGCAACGAAACTCCATCCTCGTTCTTCGTTATGTTTGAGCCTCCAGTCCCCTAATCCTCTTCGATGCTCTTCTCTGCACTCTTTCCAGAGTCTCAACATCTTTGTTTTATATCGCGGCCACAGCTATTTGAAGTTACAACTGCCAAAACATCTTAGGGAGATATTTACGCGAGCGAGATTTGAACAGCTCGACACAATTGAGCCTTGATAGTACAGTGGTTTAATGCACCCTGTTATTAACACAGCTGCCTGCAATTACTGCTGGTTCGAATCTCACCAAGGCTCAAGGTTGACTCAGCCTTCCATCCTTTCTAAGGTAGGTAAAATGAGGACCCGGTTTGTGGGGGCAATAAGCTGACTTTATATAAATATACAAAAGGATGAAGGCTATTGCTTAACGCATTGTGAGCCGCCCTGAGTCTCCGGAGAAGGGCGGCATATAAATCAAATTAAAAAAAATAAATAAAATGGTCAGATATGGGAGATTCCATTCTATACTACAATGGACGTCTCTGCATTTGTGGAGCGACAGAGGTAGAAGAGTTGGCTCATATCCTATTTGATCATTGCCTGTATTAGAGGGTGAGGGACTGGTACCTCAGTCTACATACCAAACGAAGGACCCATTGGGATCCCCAAATCAAAACCACTTACCTTGTGTGCGTCCAGAATCTGAAAATAACATTTAACACAGCATAGCTACTTAAGCAAAATGGGGGTAAATTGCAGGGGTGACACCGAAATATAATTTTATCACATTTTATCTATATCTCAAATTATTGTACTTTATTCCATTTTCATTTTAGATTGTATTTTTTATTCCAATTTCATTTTAAATCGCATTTCGTTCCAATTTCATTTTACAACTGCATCTCATTATCCAATTCCATTTTAAATTGCTTTTATCAAATTTCAGGAATGATTTGCTTCTGGAACTCTGCGCTTTGATGTGGCCCAAGGCAGGGGTGAAATCCAGCAGGTTTTGACAGGTTTTCTGGAGAACTGGTAGCGGAAATTTTGAGTAGTTTGGAGAACCGGCAAATACCACCTCTGGCTAGCCCCAGAGTGGGGAGGGAATGGAGATTTTGCAGTATCCTTCCCCTGGGTGGGAGGGAATGGGGATTTTGCAGTAACCTTATTTTAGTTTTATTTTATTTTATTTTATTTTATTTTATTTTATTTTATTATTTTATTTATTTTTTTTTATTTTATTTTATTTTATTTTATTATTTTATTTTATTTTATTATTTTATTTTATTTATTTTATTTTATTTTATTATTTTATTTTATTTTATTATTTTATTTATTTTATTTTATTTTATTTTATTTTATTTTATTTTATTTTATTTTATTTTATTTTATTTTATTTTATTATTTTATTTTATTTTATTTTATTTTATTTTATTTTATTTTATTTTATTTTATTTTATTTTATTTATATGCCGCCCTTCTCCGGAGACTCAGGGCGGCTTACAGTGCGTTAAGCAATAGCCTTCATACTTTTGTATATTTTTATACAAAGTCAGCTTATTGCCCCCACAATCTGGGTCCTCAATTTACCTACTTTAGAAAGGATGGAAGGCTGAGTCAACCTTGAGCCTGGTGAGAATTCAAACCTGCAGTAATTGCAGGCAGCTGTGTTAATAACAGGGTGCTTTAGACCACTCTACTATCAAGGCTCTTTCAGTATCCTTCCCCTGGAGTGGGGTGGGAATGGAGATTTTGCAGTATCCTTCCCCTGCCACGCCCAAGCCACACCACGTCCACCAAGCTACGACCACAGAACCGGTCGTAAAAAAAAAATTGGATTTCACCACTGGCCCAAGGGCTAATCAATCAATCCAATCAATCAATAAATATCGTGGCGACCAAAACCGGACGCAATATCCCAAGTGTGCCCTTACCAAGGCCTTATAAAATGAGATTAACGCTTCCCAGAGGCTGCCTGAGACCTGAGAAACGCGTCTGAATCCTCACTCCGACGTCTCTTTTCTTTCAGCAAAATCTCAGCATCCTTCAGGTTGCCTTACCGGGACAACCTGTTAAGAAATGCCGCGTATTTATGGAGGCTTACCTGTTGGGGCAGATCTGATCTGAAAATGCGTGAGAATTTGTGACGGGGCTGTCTAATTTTAGCTGCCCGCAATCTTGCACGGACTTCCAGCGCCTGCCCCTCCCTGCGGAGCGCAGAATCTGGCAGTGTAAATGTTTGAGGTTGCTAAGCAACAGTTGGTGGAGGGGAAGGTGTGGAGGGGGGGGCAATCCATCTCCTCGGGCAGCTGGGGAAGGTGAGCGCGCCAACGGTCCTCCTCCTATCATGGTTTCATCTCGGGGTTGTGGGAACCAAGAAAGAAAAGGAGGGGTGGGTGGGTGAGAGGGTGGGAGGAAATCCTGACCATTCATGGTCGGAGGGTCTTGGACCCAGGGTGGATAAAAATCAATGTTTTTTTTAAAAAATCAAAAAAATCGGATTTTTTTTATTTAAATCGGATTTTTTTTTATTTAAATTGGATTTTTTTGATTTTTATTGAATTTATTTTAATAAAAAACTTTTGGGGTAAAAATCTATCGTAAGATAGTTTTCTATTTAAGATACATAAATAATTTAGTTTATTCAGCATGAAACGGAGCTTAGTTACGTAGCAGGAGGCTGTATATTCTGCAACACTGGGACTATCGGTCAGTCAACGGTGGGTCAAAGGAGGAGCAGAGATGACAGCTGCTCTTTAAAAATTACGATTTGAGTTGATTTAAATCAAGCCTTTTTACTAGGGATTTAAATCATGATTTA